CAAACGAGCGTGCGCCTGATCGATCTGCCCATACTATTGCCATATAGGAGTCACCAATACTCTATTCCAGTAGTTATTTGATCAGTGGATCCTCTGGAACTGTTGTGGGGGGGGTAAAGGGTTAAGTTTCTTCATATCTCAATCGAGAAAGCTGAATGTATCCAACTCGGGATTTTTCTTAGATGTACATTTTTATATAAGATACAGAAACCAGAGTTCCGTATGAACTCGAAATTATGAGTCCGACCCAGTCCATGGACTAAAGAAATCTGGTCCAGTCCAGTCTGGATCCATGAAAACAGTTTTTTCAATCCATGGATACTAAAAGAGTAGCCCAGTCCAGTTCACAATAGAAAAACAATATGTTTTTTACTGATTATTCTCGATTCAAGTGAATCTAAAACTTTTTTTTCGATTCCACATCAGTCCATGGTCTTGAAAGTTTGAGCCCAGACCAGTCCGAATTCATAAGCCACAGTTTAATCCATACGGAAATCTTGTAGAATCGCAACAACTTATTTAAATAAAAAGAGAATTATGCAAAAGTTTCCATTTGAGCAAAGTTTCGATATTTTGCGCACATTGTTTGTACATGCCTGATAAAGTTTCCGAAAAATAGTATTACTGATATTAATCAGTCTGATGCTCCAGAGTCTTTCTTTCGAATTTAATTGCATTATAATCGACCTAACGCACTAGATTAAGCAGACACAATAACAGCATATCAGTTCACAAGAAAAAATAGTTATAATCTTTAGATAGATTCCTGTCGAAACTTTATTCGTAATTCTTATCTGAATACATTACTTTGCTATTCAACTGTTTTTATATCTTTAAAGTCAAACAGGTCAGCTATGTATGTTTTTGATCCGAATAGAAAAAAGTTGATGCTACTTTTTTTGCATGGGTTATACGATAGTGGGATAAACTGTCTGTTGTTTTACATCAAATCACTACATTAACACGTTTTCACCCACAACTTCATGAATACTTCTACCACACTACAAGTGGGTACAAGATTCAAGGATTGTAATCGGAGATATGATATCTGGTTGAATTAAACACGCGTGACCTTGTTATAGCTTTAATATGATGTATTCAGCTGAAATTTAGACAATAGTGAGTGACGTATGTATGGCGAAACTGAGTCAGTCAAGCATTTTCTCTCGAAATATTCCCGTTATCGATATATATATAGATATATATATATATACACGCCCACAGATAAAAAGGGATTGGTTTACTAGACCATCTGAGTTTTCTTTCATGCTTAATAACCATATTATTTTTAAATAAATTTAAAAACATCGTAGTTAAAATTATTCAGTTACATAATAGTATTAGAGTATATTAAATAAACACAAGATTTTTGATTTTACTGTTCTTCTCCATTCTTCCTCTTACTATATCTAATATTCATCTATTCCTTCATATAATTTTGTTTCTTTTTTTTGTTTTGTTTTGTTTTTTTTCTCATTTTTTTTCTTTTCTATATACGTATAACGTCAACAAAACAAAAACATATAATAGATTTGCCTCTTTCTTATTGCTCTGTTCTTCTGTGCACATTCTAATATTAAATAAAGCTTATAATATAATAAGTATGTATCTTACATAAACATACAATGTTTTTCCATTTTGTTTTTGCTTATTCATATGCACTTAGAGCTGACCAAAAGTTTGTAGAACGATATTTAAATTTTTATAAAATACTTAACATCGAAAGATTTATTGCATGAATAATTAGTAAAATGTCTCGTCTATAATTCTAACAGTCTTTTAGATAGAGTTTATAATGCAATAAACATGTGAACATTCCTTGTTCAGGATTCGAATATATTTAGGATTTACCAAAGATTTTCAAAATATAAAATAAAAATATATAAAGAAAGATCTATGTTTAGCTTTATTTTATTAAATGTTCAAAATAGTCACCATTATTATTTATACAAAGTTCCATTCTTTCTAATAGTTTGTCAAAAGTTTTTTTAAACTCTTTTTCTAGAATATTGTTCACTATCTTGCAAACTGCCCGAGCTAGTATTTCTTCGTTTTCTTGGTCAGCTAAGTTAATCTTGATCGCAAATTGTCTTTGCATCTATTTCCAGAATTGTCCGAATTTTAATATAGTATCGATTAAATTCATCGGTCATTTTAATGATTTAAAAAAAAATTTAAATCTGATTTTGATATTTGATGCAAAGTATCGATCGGAAATGCTGATTTATTCATACGAAAAACGTAAGCGAATCGAATGAACTAACTCAATAAATGATTTTACACTCAATTGTTACATGTAATATTTAAGTGCATATGACGTCAGAAAATATCATATGAAGGAGGAAGGAAAAAAATGCGAAATTCAGAAATATATTCGAATCATGGACAANAGACGAGACATTTTACTAAGTATTCATGCAATAAATCTTTCGATGTTAAGTATTTTATAAAAATTTAAACATCGTTCTACGAACTTTTGGTCAGCCCTAAGTACATCTTCATCGTATTTTTTTTTTCCTGTTGTCAACAAAAATCAAAATAAAATGGCTGGTGTTGCATTGCTTGTGGGAGATAATATTATTAATAAATCGGGTGAAATAATCGATTTAAAATCTGAACAATATTCAGGCAAAATCATTGGTCTCTATTTTGCTGCACATTGGTACGTAATGATATGATTCTCGTTAATGATATAAACACAATTATTTAACTTCAGGTGTCCACCGTGCCGTGAGTTTACACCCTTACTAGCTGAATTTTATAATAAGTATCATGAATCTAAAAAATTAGAAATAATTTTTATCTCGTCAGATCGTGATATTGAATCATATCGAGGATATTATGACAATATGCCATGGCTCTCACTCGAATACAAGAATCGTGAAAAAAGTAAAGAATTAACGAAGACATTTCGTGTCACCGGGATACCAGCATTGATCTTGTTAGATGGTGATACAGGAGAAATTATTTGTGAAACTGCTCGATCTAAAGTACAATCGGATTCAAATGGTCGTGACTTTCCATGGAAATCAACCGGTCATTCGAATAAATCCGTGTGTGTAATATTTTGACATCAACATTGTTTATTTATTTTTTTATCAAAATATTTATATTTTCTTCATTCTTTATTTTTCTTACATATATATCCGTTGACTTTAAATAGGATTTTACAAATACAAAATGAAATAATTAATAACATAATTAAGTTGATATTGCTTATTACGAGATGAAAAAACTTATTGGTATGATATATATCTATATCTGTTAATACCCAAGCAAAAATGACCCAATTTTTTGGGTTATTTATCTAGATTCAGGTCCATGTGCATCTAGATGTACGTGGAGCTGAATCTAGATAAATAACCCAAAAAATTGGGTCGTTTTTGCTTGGGATATTTGTCGTGGAAAGCAGTAAATAATTTGATACATGTCATTGTTTGTCTTTTTAAATTGTTCTACATAGTTTTCATAGAAATGAAACGAACATTTCGTACCGAATATGCAAAAAATCTTGTTCACGATAAGGCGCGATATCACTCTTGTTACGCGAGTGCTTAAAGAATGCAAAATACTCGAAGAAGTATTACGAGAGTTTCATGGAAAATTTCACTGATAACACTGTGCATATCACATCAAATGTGGTGACACATCTCAAAAGGCTCATATGAAATTTTGATGAAGAAAAAATGTTCTTCACATTTCTTAGACAATCTGTAGAGGTTCGTAAGTGAGATCAATAATATCGAAATCGAAAATGTAGAATATTACCACCAGAGACTTGTTTTATCGCCAACAGAGTTTTTCATCAAGTAACTTAAACTTTTCTATTGCACAAGATGCATTTCGAGGGTTGACTGATCCGAGTTGAACAGAATCAAATCGACGATATCAGAGTGTCCTTCTTTTTATTGATGACACTGTCGGAAATTCTTTCAATCTTTTCTTAAATGTTTTACGTATTTTTCACTTGACATACGCAATGCCAAAATAAAATACTTAGTAGTCAACATTAGCACTTTGCAAACGTCTATACAGCCGGCATCGATAAATAATGTCCTACAGCAAGTCATTATCTAGTGACATAAGATATTGGCAGGACTTTTGAAATAAATGAACGTAAATTATTGTTTGCACCTTGAAATAGCCATAAATATGATAGATATATTATTTTATCTATTTAAATATGCTTTAGAGTTTTCGAATCAAATTGATCCATCATTAGTACAGTTCAAAGACATTTGCAATCGAACAAAAGTAAATATGGTTCTAATATATACATGTTTATATAGTTTTGTGCATATCATGCGTTTAGACATGAGAAGTTAGTTAAACGACGATAACAATAGGAAGAAAGAGTGAGAAAGATTTAACTATGAAAACTATGTAGAACAATTTAAAAAGACAAACAATGACATGTATCAAATTATTTACTGCTTTC